TTTAAGGTTTTGGGTTTAGGGTTTTGAGCCGAAGCTACCCAACGAATCAAGCGAGGCCTCAACACCAAGCCCTAAGTCTTTGAGAGTCCTTCTTAATAGAGAGTCCTGTGATCAAACCCTTCTTGGCAAACTTAGTCGTTGAAGAGTGCTCCCACTACGATGGACTTCGAGTGCAGCATTGAGGGTTCCATGCCGGTGTAGTGTTTTGCGTGTGGGGCTTATGCTCAGCGCTTTAATACCCTAAACTCTAAACCTTAAGCCTCAAGTGAGATTTAGTGGTTACTGTAGGCGCCTTACTAATTAGAATAGGGTTTTGGGTATATTATACAATGATAATAACAATAATAATAAGAAGGAACCCCAAAATAGTATAGGCAATTATTGAGGCCCCTCTTGTAAGGTTCTTCGCCAACCCCCTCCTTGATCTTGTGCTTCTCATGCAGCTCGTCATCACAACCTTCTCGGCTGCTCTTCTTACACCCTGCACCTTTGACCCTCGGAAAACTTAAACCAACGACGTCTTGACAGCTTCGGGTCGAGGTATGAATTGTCTGGAGCTCTGGGCTACAACTGTGCTTTAGGGTTTGGGGTTTAGGGTTTAGGGGGGAATCTCAAGGATCTAAAATTGAATTTGTCGGCCCCAACTAGGCCCTACTCCCGCAAGCCACTCGGCGTTCTGGAGCTCGGAGACACTTTCGAATCCTCCGAATGTTAGCTGGAAGCTCAGAGCAAGCGCAATGTAGAAGCCTGAAGAATTAGAACAGGGTTTTGGGGTAAAATACACTATAACTACAATCAGGAACCCCAAAATAGTATTGGTAATTGCTTAAGCTCCTATAATAACCTTGACCTTACATAAACTGTGATTGAAACCCAGGCGATTGTGCTTCCTTCAAGTGTAGCAACTCAGGCACTGACATTTGGCTATCGAACACTGAACCCTAAACCCTAAGCTGCGCACCCTAAGACTTGAAACCGTCCACCCCCAAACGCCCGAAGCCGTAGGAGCTCCAACCCTGCAACCTTGACCGAATGGCGAGCCGGAAACCTCAAACCTTAGGGTTCAGGGTTTAGGGTTTAGGGTTTAGGGGTTTAGGGTTTCTGGTTTCGGCATTTTGGAGTTTAGGGCTTGCGCTTCTCGACAGAAAGAACATCCCGGGAAACGCAGCGCCCCTGAAAAGTGAT